GAAATAGTTTAATTTTAAATCGAAACGTATTAGACATATTCAAATTATACTTTTAAAACAAAATTTAATTTTTTTTTGTCAATATAAAACAACTTCAAAAATTTTTTTAAACAAAACAAAGCGTACTCTATTAAAATTTACTAAAGGTATCCGGTCAATTTTTTTCTTACTTGCTTTTCTTAAGTCAAAATCAAAATTTTTCTTTAACATTTATGTCATAACTAGGGTAATGAAAATGGGGAAATGATTCTATAAAAATATAAAGTTTTAGTTTATACAATTCTCATTTTTTAAGAAACAAAGTTAATGATTTTATTGGAAAGGAGATCCTATGTTAAATATCATACCAATTTATTGTATCAAAAATTATTTTTGAAAAGTACTATATAGTAGGGACCGAAATTTGACCCATGATTAATTTTAAAATTAAAAACATATATAAATATAATTTTTAAATTTTTAAATTTTTATTTAATGTAAAATTTGGGAAAAAAATAGGTGAAGAATGAAATTAAAAATAATTTTTGGGAAAAGAGGTGAAAATTTAGATTTGGATGATATTTTTGAAAGAAAAATCAGAAACTGGGGGTCAGAATGCAATTAAAAAAAATATGCCACGTATGACCGCCAAGTCAGCAGCCTCGACGAACAGGAGCGCGCCGCGTGGCAAGGCGCGCTGATTCGGTGCCATGCAGGAGGCCACGCTGGCAATCTGCGTGCCCACAATCAGACGACTCAGATGTGTTCCCGCGCGCGTGGACGGTCAGGATCCGTTCCTTCCTCAAGTACGATCGGACGGTCGCGATTAAACACAATAAACGACCCGAATTCATTTCCTCTTTAAACGTGATCATACGATCAAAATCAAATCGCGATGAATGATACATATTCATTTATTCTTTAAACACAATCGGATAATTGAGATCAAACGCGATGAACGACCCAGATTTAAATGAGATGGGTATAAATATCCACTTTATACTGAACCCAAACCCTAGCCGCCAGTCTCCAACAAGAGAAAAAGAACCAGTCACTGGAGAAGGGAGCCGACCGTCGTCGTGCCAGAGCCACCTCCGACCGCCAAAAGAGGTAAAAATTCTCTTATTTGCCCGAAATTTGATTTTGAACACCCTCATGGTCAAATCTGAGCAAAAGGAATGACGGATGAGCTAGAAACTGCGGTAAACCCCAGCGGCACCGTCAAAGGAAAAATAAAAAATTACATCCGATGAGCCCCTTCTCGTTTTCTACTTCGTGCAATTTTTTACCATTGTGTTCATCGTTATATTTTCTACAGGTTGACCGAAGAAAAACACTCAGCCGCAAAGGTGAGCTGGCGGAGCTGCCGCACCAAAAAATCTCGCCACCGATAAATTTTTATTTTTTGATTTTTTTTCGGCCAACCGAGTCCTCCTAACATATTTTCTCGCAATAATGGGTCTAAAAACAACCGAAATCGATCAAAAATGGCCGAAAATGGCCAAGCCAAGGCAAACCACCGCCGCGGGCGGTGGTGCCATCATCGGAGCACGTCGTTACCGCCGTGCTGGAATTTTAAAATTGGTCAGAAAAGATTTTTAACACCGATTTTGGATTTTTTGAAATATTTTTAGGTACGTGAAGCGTATTTAAAGCTCTGCAGGAAAATTTAGGAAACCTAATAACCGTTAGTAGGCGTAGCTGAAAGTTCAGTGTTTCGAACATTGATTCGGGTAAGAATCTCTCACCTTATTCTCTATTATGGAATTGAAGTTTAATTATCAATAATACGGTATTTTGTATAATTTAAAAAAATTTGAGAATTAATTACATGTTACTAATAGAATCAGAATTAGTTATTTATTATTGTTTGTCATGTTTAACCGATTATTTGATTTTACAGCTTTAAATGGATGATAACATACTGAAATTAATAAAATGATTCAGTTGTATTTTCTTAATGTATGTATTATTTATCTTGCGTTGATTTACGGTTAAATTGTAAAACTGAAAATTAAATGCAAACGGAAAATTGATTGGTTAAGTGAATGAATGAATGGTAGCCTTACTGGATATCATGGGAGATGGTTGACGGACCGAGTACATAGGGAACCCTACCGTGAACGTCGTCTCATACCGGATAGGTTATGTGGACAGTCCATTTCATCCTCATATCGGACGGGGTATTGAGAAATGGTATTCTTAATGCTCATACCGAACGGGGTATGAGGACAGCCGGTTAGTTGATAATATTGAATAATAGTTCATGTGTAATGGAACATCCCTATAGGCCTCCATTGATACCAGTAGACAAATAAAAAGGGAAGTTTGTTATTCTTGCTTACTTGAAAATGAGATTGGAGCTATTTGAATTATTATCTCTAAAGATCGGTTTTAAAAATATCGCAACGGTAAGTATGCAATAAATAATTTTACTTATAATAAATGAATTTACTTAAATTAAGAGCTCAATTTGTTGTTTTTATGATTTTTGCCAACCTTAATTTTATGTATTAATGAGTAATGTGATATTTTTATTGGGCTAATGTAGCTCACCCATTCATTAACTATTTCAGATCAAGATGACCAATAATCAGATCCCGATTAATAAGAGGGTTGTAAATAGTTCACCACTTGGATTCCTTCAAAAGCTAGTGAATATCGTCCTAAGATGCTCAGTTGTTTACTTTTTGTTTA